ACCCAAACCTCTACATATGTGGGATGCACCTAGTAGCATGACATTTATTAGGAATAAAGACTTCTGAGTTCTGGTGCATTTGTGCGTGTGGGGGGGGTCATTATGTTACTGCTATGCGGTATCTAGTTCAGTAAATATTTTTAGGGACAATTCTACAGGAAGTGCTGGAAATAGGAAAAGGTATCATGGAAAGATATTCATTTTTACACAATCAGTTCCATGGGTCAAGTTGAGAAGAAAGATAGAGTTCCATCGTTTTAAGTCTATTTTTTTTCTTTTAAAGCGGACCTTAGTCTGTCATATAAGCTGTGAGATATTGTGTGGTAGGTTTATAACCAAGTATTTCAGTGAGCTTAGATCATAGTTTAGCTTAAATTGTTCACTAATAGGTTCAGGGGGTGAGGAAATAAAGGTCAACATGTGGGTCTTTTGGGTCAATAATTCAGGAAGTGTAATTGAGGGATCACTTAAATATATCAAAATGTCATCTGCATATAGAGCCACCTGTGGTCCTCCCCACATTATGCCCCTGATACTGTCCAGACAGAACTRCTTTAACACAGCTGGGGTTTCACCGCAGAGCCACACGACAACAAGCTGTTTAACTTTTATTACTCAACACACTGAGCTGCTACATTTAGAAACGTAACCTGAAACAAAGTTAGGAAAGACGGATGAGTTTCTGGTAACAAACAGCTGAGTTTTCAGGATGTGAGCTTCTGTCAGATAAACAACACCTCATCATCAGACCTTCATCAGTACAGCCTGATCAGTACTACCATCTTCATCAATACTACCTGATCAGTACTACCGTCTTCATCAATACTACCTGATCAGTACTACCATCTTCATCAATACTACCTGATCAGTACTACCATCTTCATCAATACTGCCTGATCAGTACTACCATCTTCATCAATACTGCCTGATCAGTACTACCATCTTCATCAATACTACTTGATCAGTTCTACAATCTTCATCAGTACTACCTGATCAGTACTACCATCTTCATCAGAACTACCTGATCAGTACTACCATCTTCATCAATACTGCCTGATCAGTACTACCATCTTCATCAGTACTGCCTGATCAGTACTACCATCTTCATTAATACCACCTGATCAGTACTGCCTGATCAGTACTACTGTCTTCATCAATATTACCTGATCAGTACTACCATCTTCATCAATACTACCTGATCAGTACTACCATCTTCATCAGTACTGCCTGATCAGTAATACTTTCTTCATCAGTACTACCTGATCAGTACTACAATCTTCATCAATACCACCTGATCAGTACTACCATCTTCATCAATACTACCTGATCAGTTCTACCATCTTTATCAGTACTATCTGATCAGTACTACAATCTTCATTGATACTACCTGATCAGTACTACCATCTTCATCAATACTACCTGATCAGTATTACCGTCTTCATCAATATTACCTGATCAGTACTACTATCTTCATCAATACTACCTGATCAGTACTACTATCTTCATCAATACTACCTGATCAGTACTACCATCTTCATCAGTACTGCCTGATCAGTACAACTATCTTCATCAGTACTACCTGATCAGTACTACCGTCTTCATCAAAACTACCTGATCAGTACTGCCTGATCAGTACTAACATCTTCATCAATACTACCTGATCAGTACTACCGTCTTCATCAATACTACCTGATCAGTACTACAATCTTCATCAGTACTACCATCTTCATCAATACTACCTGATCAGTACTAACATCTTCACCAATACTACATGATCAGTACTAACATCTTCACCAATACTACATGATCAGTACTACCATCTTCATCAATACTACTTGATCAGTTCTACAATCTTCATCAATACTACCTGATCAGTACTACCATCTTCATCAATACTACCTGATCAGTACTAACTTCTTCACCAATACTACCATCTTCATCAATACTATCTTCATCAGTACTACCTGATCAGTACTACAATCTTCATCAATACCACCTGATCAGTACTACAATCTTCATCAGTACTACCTGATCAGTACTACCATCTTCATCGGTACTACCTGATCAGTACTACCATCTTCATCGGTACTACCTGATCAGTACTACCATCTTCATCAATACTACCTGATCAGTACTGCCTGATCAGTACTACTTTCTTCATCAGTACTACCTGATCAGTACTACCATCTTCATCAGTACTACCTGATCAGTACTACCATCTTCATCAATACTACCTGATCAGTTCTACCATCTTTATCAGTACTACCTGATCAGTAATACAATCTTCATTAATACTACCTGATCAGTACTACCATCTTCATCAGTACTACCTGGTCAGTACTACCATCTTCATCAGTACTGCCTGATCAGTACTACCATCTTCATCAGTACTACCTGGTCAGTACTACCTGGTGGAGAGGTGTTTGTTGGAAGGTGTAGAGACATACATATTATATCAACAAGGTTTAAAGTTTTTCCTTGAGGTTTACTGTAATACAAGACACAAGCATGTAGTCTACGTGTGTTTTGTAACACATCATGAAGACATATCAGACAGCTGTGAACATGAACTGTTGAGCAGCAGAAATCTAAACACATGTTCCTCTTCTGTCAAGTCATGTGACCCAACTAATGTCCAATTGTTCTACTGAACAAGTTAAGGTGACACACATTCCTTTCACCTGGTTTAAAGGTGTTTTCAATTTTTAAATAATATTTTTGTACAAGATTTATTTTTTTCTTCTGTAACTTTTAGGTTATGTGACCCAAATATCATGATTGAAGAGTTCATGGAGTCGAGCACCAGTTCTTGAGCTGTTTTTTAAACTAATGTTAACATGTTTTAATGTTAACTTGTTCATATAATCATCATTGGCAGCTGATCAATGTGAAGCACGGTGGCAGTGTGTTTATGGTCTGGGGTTGGAACATACAGTTAGGTCCATGTATATTTGAACAGCGACAACATTTTTCTAATTTTGGTTCTAGACATTACCACAATGAATTTTAAACAAAACAATTCAGATGCAGTTGAAGTTCAGAGTTTCAGCTTTAATTCGGTGAGTTGAACAAAATGGTTGCATAAAAATGTGAGGAACTAAAGCATCTTTTAAGCACAATCCCTTCATTTCAGAAACTCAAAAGTAATTAGACAGATTAAATAATTGTAAATAAAATGTTCATTTCTAGTAGTTTGTTGAAAAGCCTTTGTTGGCAATGATTGCCTGAAGTCTTGAACTCATGGACGTCACCAGACACTGTGTTTCCTCCTTTTTAATGCTCTGTCAGGCCTTCACTGCACTGGTTTTCAGTTGCTATTTGTTTGTGGGTCTTTCTGTTTCAAGTTTAGTCTTTAACAAGTGGAATGCTCAGTTGGGTTGAGATCAGGTGACTGACTTGGCCATTCAAGAATATTCCACTTCTTTGCTTTAATAAACTCCTGGGTTGCTTTGGCTTTATGCTTTGGGTCATTGTCCATCTGTAGTATGAAACGATGACCAATCAGTTTGGCTGAATTGAGCACACAGTCTGACTCTGAATACCTCAGAGTTCATTCGGCTGCTTCTGTTCTGTGTCACATCATCAATAAACACTAGTGACCCAGTGCCACTGGCAGCCATGCATGCCCAGACCATCACACTGCTCTGCTGTGTTTTACAGATGATATGGTGCTTTGGATCATGAGCTGTACCACACCTTCACCAKACTTTTCTCTTTCCATCATTCTGGTAGAGGTTGATCTTGGTTTCATCTGTCCAAAGAATGTTCTTCCAGAACTCTGCTGCTTTTTAGATGTTTTTTAGCAGCGTCCAGTCTAGTCGTTTTATTCTTAAGGCTTATGAGTGTCTTGCAGCGTGCAGTGAACCCTCTGTATTTACTTTCATGCAGTCTTCTCTTTATGGTAGATTTGGATATTGATACTTCTACCTCATAAAGAGTGTTGTTCACTTGGTTGGCTGTTGTGAAGGAGTTTCTCTTTATCATGGAGATTATTCTGCCATCATCCACCACTGTTGTCTTCTGTGGATGCCCAGATCTTTTTGCATTGATGAGTTCACCAGTGCTTTCTTTCTTTCTCAGGATGGACCAAACTGTAGATTATGCCACTCCTAATTTTGTAGCAATTTCTCGGATGGGTTTTTTTTCTGCTTTTGCAGCTTAAGGATGGCTTGTTTCACCTGCATGGAGAGTTCCTTTGACCGCATGTTTACTTCACAGCAAAACCTTCCAAATGCAAGCACCACACCTCAAATCAACTCCAGGCCTTTTATCTGCTTAACTGAGAATGACATAACGAAGGGATTGCCCACACCTGTCCATGAAATAGCCTTCTGGTCAACAGTCCAATTACTTTTGGTCCCTTAAAAAACAGGGTGGCACATGTTAAGGAGCTGAATTCCTGAACCCTTCATCCAGTTTTAATGTGGATACCCTTAAATGAAAGCTGAAAGTCTGGACTTTATGTCCATTTACATTACATAACTATGACTTGAATATGCTTCAGTAAACAGGTAAAAAGACAAAATTTGTGTCAGTGTCCAAATATATAAAGACCTAACTGTATTGTAGTGGTTTGGTTGTTGTGAATTTAAAACAGGACTGTCCATGCTGGCTCCATGGTGAGGCTATCATCGTGAGACATGATACTCATGGCAGCAGACAGTGGTGGGCTCAGGCGTGTTGGGGGGACAGGTGCCCAAGTCAAAAAAGGGCGCTTTGTGCTCAGCACAGAATCACCAGCTGTCCTTGTAACGTTAAATTTATTGTGCATATTTATTTATTTATTTATTTCAAATCAGCAGCTTCATTGTGTCTGATGCAGATGTTTAACACTCAACAGGATGGTTTCTGTAACTAACTGACAACAAAGATTAGTGATGCACACTTGYGTGTCTATAAAATAAACATCTGTAATCAAGTTTTTTTTTACACAAAACTGCTTCTATGGAGGATCTTCTTTCCATCTCTCCCTCATCAGAAAGTTCTGTTTCTGTCCACACTAGATTCAGATATTTCAGCTTCATCGGTGTCTGGCTCATATCTGCTAATGGTTTGTTTCTCTCATCTTCCATGTTCATGGATGTCCTGAAGGACAACATAGAGCTTCTTCAGTACTGTTGCCTTGAAGACCAACAATTGTCTTTATCCAAAACTTCTTGGCAACATGAGTTAATATTACATTAAAGTGGACATATCCTGCAAAAAACACTTTTTATCTGTTAAATACATTTTGTTGTGGACTTGGAGTCTCTAGGAGGCAGAAAGGTTTAATTTAGTCTCTCCTGGTGCTGCAAAGATTATATTCTGTATGGGTCAGATTTTTCAGATCTTTTTTTAAACATATTTGCTGGATTATTTTTAAACATATCTCTAAGAAATATAAAATAAAAATAAAAAGTAGTTGAAAGGGTAAGACCAAAAATGTGTAACTTGATTACAGGTGTTTATTTTATAGACGCAGAAGTATGCATCACTAGTCTTTGTTGTCAATTTGTTACAGAATGAATGAATGCTAATAATGAGTCTTTCTCAGATTAATCATTTTTTTAAATCTGTTAGGTTATGTATGTTCTCTAAATGATACATAAAACATAATTTGGAAAATATAATTTTATATTTCTAAAAAAATATTTTTATTTCTTTCACCCATTTTCTGATGTGTGTCTTAACGTAGCTGGTTTTGATACTGTTCCTTCAAGGTGCTGCAAGCCCCGCCCCTCTCTGGCTTCCAGTGTGTGTGTATG